TCAGTAAAATTCTAATTCGAACAAATAAAAATTTGGCTCAAAAATTATTATGACAAATGAAATTCCATAAAATGAAAATTCTAACTAATGTTTTTTAGAACATAATCATGCGTCCCATTAATTGGAACATAACATCAATGAAGATTTGAATATACTTTTTCTTATTTATGCTGTAGTGATTTTTAAAAATTTTTTAGACAAAAAACTGATTTCGTTCATTTGAACGTTCAAAATTTCAGGCACATAACAAATTTTAATGATTAGATAGATGTTACGATAAACATAATTTATGAAATGATTATTAAAATAATGTATTTTGCGTGTCACAAAACGCATAAATATATAATACATATAATAATATAAACCAATGTCTATTTATATATATAACAACTCGTGGAATGTTACAAACTCAGCAAATCTCTTAACGAGGAATTTCAAATTAGATTGGTTTGCTCACGTGTACGAAATTTGAATGTCATTTACAAACAGAGATCCTGCATTTCCATAAAGGGCATTAACTTTCTGATAGAGTTAAGTTTCACTTTGTGACAGTTTTAACAACTAAACACATGTGTATAAAGCGTCAAAATACATTAATTATCCCATCAAACAAATTGTCAAAAATATTAATTAATTCAAATATTTTGTTACTAAAAAGCAAAAAAAAAATAAAAATTACCAGTTAAAATATCTCTAAACTACATATTGCCTCTATTTGTCCAGTAACGTTTGTTTATAGTGCTCTATATATTGAGAGTGTACAGTAAATCCCCAAATTTAGCACTCAATTGAGGTTTCAGTGAATGCGTTTGTTTCACTGCAACAATTATTGCCTTTGAATCATTTTGTATAAAAATAGATAGATTTAGTACATTTTTTTTATTTAAATTAACAATTAGTTAAATTTTTTAATTACAAACAAATTCATTATCACAATATAGGATATTTTTTTTATAATTATTTTAATTGGTTAATTTTAAAATTCCTGCCGAAATCATTTTATAGGTTATGTTTGTTTGGAAAAATGTGAGTTCGGTCAAACAAAAATTCGTCGTTTTTAAAATTCTATACTAAATGACAATTATAATTTTTACTAAATAATAAGTGTTATAAAAACTTCGATCAAATAGAAATATAATATAAAATTTATAAAAATTAAATTTAAACAAAAGGAATTAATTGAAATTAACAATTGAAAAACAATATAAAAATATGATATTTAAATGAAATTTCATATTATTTTATATAATAAAACAATGATTATAAAACATATAGATATATATATATATATATATGAAAAGAGTGAATAAACTTTTTTTCTGTAGTTAAAATAAAAAAATAAAATAAGCCGTGTCATTTATATTTTGAGTTTAAAATTGAGTTTATAAATTCAGAGACGTCTGGAAATAAGTCTCTTCCTGTTGAACAAAATCACTTATATGTATACACGTACATAATATATGAATGCGACTTGAATCTTTCGATTTCACACGATTACAGCAGAAAACATTAGTTCACGCCTTCTTCATTTTTTTTCCGTCATATTATCCAGACAAAAAAAAAACCTTTAGATAAACTCCACTCTTTGCGAGGCTTTTTTTTAAACAACAAATTATGAAAAAAAAATTGCATAAATTTACATGGAAATTGATAAAATAAAGGAATTTTTTTTTTCATAAAAATAAATAAAATATAATATTTCTTTATTATTTTTTATTATTATTATTATATGTTGTATTATTTTTTTTTAATTTAAGTTAAATAATAGATAATTGTTAAAGAAAAACTTGATTTACGAAATTTAAGAAAACCTACAAATTAATATCGCGAATAATCGAGATTATATATATATATATATATATATATATATATATATGTATATTTATATTTTGCAACAAGGAACTTATTTACCTCGACGAAACCTTCGTTTTTTTATGCACCGTTTCTGACCTCCCCGTGGGCGATGTGTTAAAGAGAGAGAGAGAGAGAGAGAGAGAGAGAGAGAGAGAGAGAGAGAGAGAGAACAAAGCACATTTCTGAGATTAAAATATTTTCGCTTCTTGTTAAAGTACTTGAAATCGCTAAGAGAGATTATTTTTCATTAAAATGCATCTTTTTTTTTTTGCAAATATATACATATATAATATATATCCAACGCGCTAGAAAGAAGAGCAATTTTAGTTATACAAAAGTCAATTTTGCGCTTTTAATTTCAAAATTAATTAATCCGAAGGTCTTGAGAGGATAAGATTTCAAGGAAAGTTCATTATACTTTTTCCGGAAATGTAGAAATGCTAATTAAAAAGTAAATTTAACCCGGCTGTATGTATATAGGTATCTATGTATACACATATATATATATAGAGGGGGAAAAATTATTTTTCTTAACTTTTAAATTATAATAGGTGGATAATACAATTACGAAACAAATCTCTTCTTTAAATTAATGGCCATCTCATAAAAAAAAAAACGGAAATTATAAGAGAAGAAAAGTGACATTAAAAGCATGTACTTAATTATCATTCCATATTGAATTAATTTTCAGCAAAGCTATATTTATATAATATATAATATACACTGAAAAAAAAATTTAGTTCAACAAAATCGTTTGGTTAGGCAATTTTTGGTTCTTGTAATCAAATTTTGGTTGGCTGAAACCAATTCGTAGAGTTATCTCAACCAAACATTTGGTTAGGCCAACAAAATTATTTGGTTAAACATTTTTAAATTCCAACACAAAATTTGGTTATGACAAGAAAATAATTTGGTTAACACAACAAAATAGTTTGGTCTAAAAAACCAAATGATCGTTTGTTGTCCTAACCAAATATTTGGTTACGACAACCAAATAATTTAATTCGCTCTCGTATCTTAGAACAATTTGTTTAAATCTCTCACGAAGATGGGTAGTCGAGTGGTCAGAGCTCCCGACTCGTAGTTTAAAAACAGAGGTTCGATCCCAGGCGAAGATGAGATTTTTCAAAAGTCCACAAATATTTCAATTGAATAAATATAAATTAAACGTTAAATTGGATAATAAATAAATAATAAAATAAATTAAAAAGGATAAAATAAAAGAAATAAGGTAGAATAAAATTTTTAATTTTACAAAAAAAAAAAAAAAAACTGTTGATTTGATCAACCAAACATTTTTGTTGACGTAATAAAAAAATTTGTTGAGCTAATGAAACATTTTTGTTACGCCAACAAAATACACTCAAATTTTTTGTTTGACTCAAATAATTTGGTTGCTTAAATACCAATAAAAAATTTTTTTTTCGTTCCAATCAAATTTTGATTGCTTGACTAAACATTTTTCGCAGTGATATAATGTAGAATATGTAATAAATAATTTTTTTTATATAAATTGACACCTATTATGTGATTACATTTAATAAACTAAATAAATTAGTCAACCCCGGACTCATAATATATTATGCGAAGGAGGGAGCTTATAAATTATGAATGCTATGACTCTTGTATTATCGAAGGTTCCAGAGATTATTAATAAACTCCGTGCATTCGTAATCTATATATATATATATATATATACAGTTCGTTCTAAAGTTATAACGAAAAAATATTATTGCTCATCATATAAATGTGTTGTACACGAATTTTAAAATTTTTTATATACTAATAAATAAACCCTCTTTTCAAAAAATCACATGCTTATTAAAAATATTGGATCGTTAATATTTTATTATCATTTAATCATATATTGATTTAATTGAGTGTTTTTATTAATTGGTAAAATATATACATATTTTCATATTTCGCTATACACTTTGTTTTAATATTACATCATTTTTAATTGTTGCAGAGATTATGAAATAATTTTCAGTTTTTTTTATTGCAACTCTTTTGTTTTTTTTTTTTTTTTTTTGTTACCGTCACGAAAATACAAGGCTTTAATATAAAGTAACGATATATTTTTTCAATCGTTTAGTGTCTGGACATTCATATTATATATACTCGCTTGAACGGTACTGCAAATTGTTGATAATTTCTTCTACTTAAAGAAATAATTACTTCCCTAACCTCTATTAAGGTCTAGAAAAGTTGATAACCTCGCTATGTTGAGTGATAGTAAATTTCCTTTTTCTTTCCCGAAAACGACGTTATTTATTAACATTTTGTGGCACACACTTTTTATACACTTTTTTCCATTTTATTACTATTATTATTATAAATAATAATAATTATTATTATAATTAATATTAGATTTATTATTATTACTATTTTTATTTGATTTATTATTATTATTATTTTTATTAATATTTTTATTATTATTTTAGAGTTATACTAAGAGTATGACAAAAATTATTTTTGGAAAAATTTAAAAATTTTTATATTTAACCGTCTTTTTCAAAAAACGTATATTATTTTCGCCTAAAGCCGTAGGATTTGAAACTTTAAATTGCGACTGATATACATAAAAATTATTCCGATGATCTGGTTCTATAAATACAAAAAAAAAAAAAATGACACACCAGAAAAAAAACTCGCAAAAAATCATTAATCGTCATTTTTCATTTTTGTTAATTTTAATTTTTCGTTTCTCAATTAGAAGTATTAGTACACTTTATAATTATTTTTAATACCGTATTAATATTTACAAATTGTATGATACGAATTTTTTTTTTTTTTGTATTTAAAAGCCACTGCCTGTTCACTTATTAAATATGAAAAAAAAAAATTCTAGTTAACATTATTTTATAAACAAATAATTTTTCAAGTTTTTTCTCATCTTATTTTTTTTTTCTTTTTTTTTTGTTTTCATAATTTTTTAATGGCAAAAAAACACTGAATGCGAAACAAAACAAACACAACAAAGAAATGAGAAAAATTAAAAGAAAGAAAAAAGTAGAAAAATTAAAAGTTGAAAAAATTTTTTTTTTCCTAAGAAACTAAAGATGAAAATATTTTTCTTCGAGAAATGAAAAATTTATACCAAAAGAAAAAAAAAGAGGGGAAAAAAAAGTGAAAAATTTTCTTACTTGGAGCAGAGTGCACGAGAGCAAAGAATAGGCATGAGACGAAAAGTGCTCCAAAGTATTTCATGTTGCGCGCGTATCGCTTCGGGAAAAGACTCGACACTAACTGATGATCGAGGATTGCGGACGAGGTACAAAAGAGAGGATCAAGGTCAGTCTGCACTATACACTGTGAGACTCCAACTGAAAAGTAAAACACGACAACGCTCTCTACCTTGTTTCGTTACTCACGATTGTATATATATATATGTGAACATATATATGTGCGATTTGCTTCCAGCTTATATACTCTTATAGTGTTGCCTGATCCGGCACCCGCGACTTCTTAAAGTAAACACACATTCATAAAAAAATATACATATGTATTCATTTGTTTATAGTTGTTTCATGAGAATGCATTCAATTGTGTGTCATCACACACTGTCATAAACAATTCCCATTGGTTGATGATTATAATGTTTCTTGGAATTTCCGTATTTTTGTCCCACTATAATATCAAAGTATAATATAAAATGATAATATGGTAATTAACACATACATATAAGCTACTTATATTTGCATGACACACTGAGAAAAATGTTTAAGTGAGAGCAACCGAAATTTGATTGCGAGCCAACAAAAAAAGTTTGTTGGTATTTAAGTAACCAAACTATTTGTTTGAAGCACAAAAAAAATTTTTGAGTATTTTTTGTTGGTATAAAAATATTTGGTTAGCTCAACCAAAATTTTTTGTTAGGTTAACAAAAATTTTTGGTTGTTCAAACTAACAGTTTTTTTTTTGTAAAATTAAAAATTTTATTCTACCTTATTTCTTTTATTTTATCTTTTATAATTTATTTTATTGTTTATTTATTATCCAATTTAACGTTTAATTTATATTTACTCAATTGAAATATTTGTGGACTTTGAAAAATCTCATCTTCCCCTGGGATCGAACCTCTGTTTTTAAACTGCGAGTCGGGAGCTCTGACCACTCGACTACCCATCTTCGTGAGAGATTTAAACTAATTATTCTAAGATACGAGAGCGAATTAAATTATTTGGTTGTCGTAACCAAATTTTAGTTACGACAACAAACGATCATTTGGTGGTTTAGATCAAACTATTTTGTTGTGTTAACTAAATTATTTTCTTGTCGTATTCAAATTTTGGTTGGAATTTAAAAATGTTTAACCAAATAATTTTGTTGGCCTAATCAAATGTTTGGTTGAGATAACTCTACGACTTTGTTTCAGCCAACCAAAATTTGGATACAAGAATCAAAATTGCCTAACCAAACGATTTTGTTGCAAACAGAAAATCTTTTTAATAATAAGATTTATAACAGGCTTATCGGTCAAAAGTATTTTATTAATTTATTATAAAAATATAATCAATGTGTCGACTGTACCGGTGTATACACCGGCGAGTCTAACAGATCATTGAATGTAAGAAAAAAGAGACATATCCCCGTGTAGAAATTTCCATATTTGGCCCAAAAATGGCTTGAAACGCCTCACCAGACCTGGGAAGCTTCAAAATGTGGCTTCATCATCTTGTGGCCCAAATCGGGTAAGGCGTTTCATGCCAATTTTATGAACGCCCGATTTGGCCCATGACAAAATTTCTACCCGGGTCAACGATGTTTCTAAATTCAAAACCAATTCCGCGCTTAGAAAGCATTCTGTTCTTAATTTTCATAAATTTGATTTTGAAAACGCAAAAATTGTATACTACTCTGAAAATTTATTTAAAAGAAAAACTCTAGAAATGTTACATATTATTTCCAATAATCCTAAAAACATAATTCTCAAAACAGATGTTCAAAATCTAAGTTCATTATATCACAATTTAATTTTTACTAATAATAAAAATAATTCTGATTCACAACAATAATAGTTTTTGAGATTCAAATTTAAATTTGAAATTGTTACCGCACTGAAAGACTTTTCGTTTGAAAAATTAATATGATTCGTTTGAAAATGAGGATAATTCTGTTTTTATGCGATTTAGTCGTATGAATGTATCAGTGTTTAAACCAAATCATACCGAAAATTAGTATGGTCTTATTAACTTTCAGTATTATTTGGTTAAAAATTGTTACATTTCATACGACTAAATCGCATAAAAATAGAATTATCCTCATTTTCAAACAAACCATATTAATTTTTCAAACGAAAAGTCTTTCAGTGCGCCTTTGTCATGCGCATCACTGTACAGTCTCGAGTATCTATATGTCACCTCACTACAGTCTTCGTCATGTGTATTTTTTCAATATCGACCTTTCACATTAATCTTGATAATTTTTAATACACAGAAAAAACCTGGTCTCAAAATGAGTATCGTACGCTACTCATTTTGAAGTGCAACAAAAATGAGCCAGGTTGGTGGCGTCACTGTCTATGTCGTTTAGCTCATTTTGAGATGCAACAAAAATGAGACTAGGTTTTTTCTGTGTATAATTAGTATCTAGTGGTATGTTATTTAATTTTATAATTGTAAATAGTTCAAGTATTTCTTATAACTAACTTATGTTATTTATATATTATTTTTTAGTCCTGAAGATGTGTTGGTACCGACCCGAAACGTCGACACATTGATTTCATTTTTATAATAAGTTAAAAAAATATTTTTGACCGATAAGCCTGTTATAAATCATATTAATAAACTATAACGGTCACTAACTTTATATATGAATACAAAATCTTTTTTTTTTTTTTAGTGGCAATATTCCTAATTTTCTTTTGAATAAATAGGTTCACTTCAGCGAGCCTCACATTTGCATAAGCACTGAAAAAAAACGAGCGTCTTCTAAATGTTTCAAAAGATGACAAATTTACAAATTTCTTTTGGAGGTTATAGAGTCTAATCTAATTTAAGATACGAAACATAACCCTTAAATGTACATATTTTTCGAAGGAAAAAAAAATCTCAAAGGAATCAGAAATATTTGACGGGACCTGGCAGGACCCAAGTCAGGAAGCTACAAATTGACATGAAACATTAAATACAGTTGGGGCCACACAGGCAGCCCTATTTTAGCCCGATTCAAATCGAGGCCAGACTAGAGCCTGGTGTGGTCCCAGTCTAGTTCCCTGTTTTATCCAGGCCAGGGCTAGATTGACGAATTTCTGCGAAATATGTTTAAATTGTATTTTCAACTTTTTTAGTATTTATAAATTTAAAAAAACAATCTTAAAATGTATGCCTAACCTAATTTAAAACCCCATACAGCAACTAAAATTCCAGCAATATTCCCAACCTTGTCTCAATATTGCCATTATTTCTGAAATATTGCCAATATTGCAGCAAGTTTAAGTGCTATCTGGAATTATTCCCGGACATTTTTCCGAACAACAAATGAGCGTCCCAATTCTATAACTCGTTCGACGCTCGGACGCACGCTATAATGGTAGTCAGGTAGCAGTGGGAATACCATTGCTGCTCACTGCTACCCGACTACCAATAGAACGTGCATCCGAGCGTCGAACGAGTTATGGAATTGGGACGCTCAAATTTTCCGAAATATTAATTTTCGAATCCAATTTACGCTCTATAAAAACGGCACTGAACGTGAAAATGATAAACGTTGATATTAAAATACTTTTTGCTCAAAACACGAACACTTTTTACAAAATTGACCAAAATACTAAGGATCCTTATCTTACAAATTTTTTAAATCCAAAAAATTGTGAGAATCCATACAAAAACGCGATTGCAAAACGAAAAGTACAAAAGTAATATAACAGCTGCGACTTTGTGCTCCCTGCATGCTGCTGCCATCTGACGGCGGCAGGACATAATAAACCTGTCATTATATTGCTTTTCGTTTTGCAAGCGCGTTTTTGTATGGATTCGCACAATATTTCGGATTTAGGAAATTTATAAGATAAGAATCCTCGGTATTTTAGTCGATTTTGTAAAAAATGTCAGTGTTTAGAGTAAAAAAAAATCTATAAATAAATTTTAAACCATAACCTAAATGTATGCTTTCAATACAAAAAAAATGAAAATGTCCTTTTTTTGTTTTCGGAATCTTCATATTAAATAATTAATTACAGTTAATAAAAAAAATTCATTTTAAAAATTCATTTAATAATTGATAGTCTAAAAAAAATAAATATTTATTTGATAATAGTCAGGTAATCGATTATTTGAATCAATCAAATAAATTTTTTTTCAGTTTATAAATGTCATACACTCGCAAGGGTTTAATATCTCCAAAACAAAAAAAAAAGAAAACATTTTCATATTTTTTGTACTAAAAATACAAATTTTAAACTTTATAAAAAGAAAGATTTTAAAAATAGGCATCAAGTTTAGATGTTTATATCTACATTTCGAGCTGTATGTTTACATTAAAGTACAAAGGATATCCTAAACAGAAGGTTATTACAATTTGAAACATAAACATCCCAATTATAATTCAATCAGTTACAATTTGTGTATTGACTTGTTTAGACGTGATTAACGTTACCTAGTTTAAATTTACTAATTAATTTAATGTAAATTTAAATAAATTAAATGCAAAATTTGTCTGTGTTCAATATATATGTATTTTTTTCATTATCGTTTTTTTTTATTAAATATTTTCAGATTTGACGTGAATAACTTTGGAAGTGCTGGAATCTTTTAATTCGCGAACGTAAAAAATGTTACTGTTAAACTATTTTTTGTCATATTTTAGTAAATTTTTTGTTTCGGGAGTGTTCGAAATTTTTAAAATCGCGTGTGTTTCTATCAGATCTCATCATTCCATTGAAGACAATAGATGATACATCGTTTGCAGATTAAGGTTAGTGGTATATTTTTTATAAATAATAATTACATACAATTGTTTTTTCTACTAAAAAATTTCAAATATCGTATTTTATATTTAAGGTTATGTATTTGTTCTGATTTTACCAAAAAAAAAGTTTTTCTTTTGAGCCCAAAAAAGCCCACAATTCTGAAGCAGTTCATCTTTTGCTTTTCAATAATTTTTTGGAGCTGTGCTGATTTGACTAGCATATTTTGTCAATAAATTTATTCTTAAAAAATTGCATATTTGTGAAAATTACTAAACTCATTGTCGAGATAATAAATTTTCCTCAAATATGCAATTTTGTAAACTTAAATTTTTTGACAAAATATTATGGTACATAACAGAGCGCAACTCCTTAATGGGATATCCGCTGGGGGCGTGGCTTAGAATATTATCCTACGTTCAGTAGTACCATTTTTCACCACT